TCAGGTGCGCCTTATAGTCCGAAAATTACGGTAAGTGCTTTGTTAGTAATTCTATCGCTCGAAGTGGAGTCGAAAGAATTACAAGTTTTCAGTCTGCGCCCGAAGATGTGTAAGCTTTCTGCTGTCCTGATGTCAATGGGGAGCTCATTCCACCATTTTGGAGCCAGGATAGCAAACAGACGTGTTTTTGCTGATGGGAACTTGGGCCCCCCTAAGCAGTGCGGGTGCAGCGAGCTGTTTGGCTGATGCAGAGCGGAGTGCACGTGCTGGGGTGTAGGCCTACGGTTTAACCATGTCCTGGATGTAGGAAGGGCCAGATCCATTCGCAGCATGGTACGCCAGTACCATTGTCTTGAAGTGGATTCTAGCAGTTACTGGAAGCCAGTGAAGGGAGCGGAGGAGCGGCGTGGTGTGGGAACATTTTGGAAGGTTGAAGACCAGACTTAAATAAACTACATGTCAGGCTAAAAGTTGAACCCATATTTGGGTCAAAACAGCCAAATAATCCAATGTAATGTTACAGAGAAAGACTCTGGTCTAGGAGGCTCAGAGAGGACATCAATCCTGTGCTGTCAATCAGCAAAAAATGCATTGTAAAATGTGTTGGTGAGGATATATAACAGTTTCTAAACAACACTTACATGTAGAACCAGTGGTGCTTTCAGCCTACATGCTTAATCTAAATGCTCTTAATGTTTTATTTTATTTTGTAAAGCAAAAGGTGTTGTTAAAGGTGCTATATAAATAAACCTGCCTTGCCAAATGTTGCATTCATGTTATATTGATAGTCAGAAAGATTGTTAACAACAAACAAGGGTTCACCGTCATTGATAAATAGTGCAATTGTGCAGTTCTCGATCAGCAAAAGTGCAAATAGAAACCATTTCACATCATTCTGATAATGTTATGCAACAGTGTAAGACCGAGGGAGGTGTCATTCAGATGAGAGAAAGAAAATGTAGATACCCCAAATGCTGGTTCCTGGCCCTGCTGGAAATGGTTTTGTTACATTACCAGGAAGTTTAAAAACATTTGCTTCCTTCATCTCGACAAGAGGGTGAATATAATCTGAAGGTGATCTCTTTATGGTCGATATCTCTTTGATATCTTGACCTTTCGCCGCAGGTGCAGTGAGCCGTAACTGCACCAGCGGAGGATGGACCAGAGCTTTCCCCCCGTACCACATCGCCTGCAGTGTGGATGATGACATCCCTGAGGTGAGAAATGCCAGGGGCGAAGCAGATAAAGAAGTCCGATCGCAGAATGGGAAATTGAGAGCGTGGGGGTCGAGACAGGAAGAGAAGCAAAAGGAACAAGGAGACAAAACAAGCTGAATTAAAAAAGAAATGTACCGTGTTACAAAAGGTTGTTGTAAAAAAAATTGGACAGTCTGACACACTTTAATTGCCCATATTCCATTTTCTTTTTAGCCTGGTTTGATTTAAATATATATGCTACCTGAGAAAATATATTCTAATTAGATTTTTTTGCAAGGCAGTGATTGAAACAAATGTCACACATCCGGTAATAGCTGAAATTATCCTATTTAAGAGGATTGGGCTTAATCTTGCTGAACAGTGCTTTTGGAGGGTAATCATCAGAAAACTACTTTTGGTGCTTTAGAGAAAGAGCTTTTGTTGTATGTTAAAAAAAATACCTTTTAAGTCTTCCTATCGTGTAAAGTCTCTACTGACAGGTGATGATGTAAGTAGCTTTTTGGAGTCGATTCAATAGACTGATATTCATGTTATATCTCAAAATATGGAGAAAGCGTTCATGTTTTAATGCCACAGACGTCTCGACAATACCTCTAGTTTGTTTATAGGTCAAACCTAAAGATTCCATTAGCAGTTTAGTTGTTTTAAAAGAGAGTTTTCCTGTGATTATTGCATCTACAAATATCCTTATCCGATCAGAACCTCATTCATTTAAATCCAGGAAGCGCTTTTACCAAAACATTTTAAAGCATTTTTTGATCTCTTCAAGCCAAATGAGTCCTAAACTTCTCTGCAATTTAGTGTCTTTTTGAGATATTGCATTTATTTCACTAGGAGTATTATCCTGTTTTATGCTAAATCTTCTCTTTCCGTCTCCTTTCAGACAGAGCAGTCATACTTTGCCACGGTGAAGATGATTTACACCGTGGGCTACAGCATCTCTCTAGCAGTGCTGGCTGTGGCTGTGTTCATCCTGTTGCTCTTCAGGTAAGAACATATTACATTTCAGAAATAAGACTGGTAGACTTCAATTCAGTTCTATCAGCGTGCACATTTTAGATAATGTTAAATATGTTCTTTATTCTCGCGTCCAGGAGAGAAGCTTTAAAATGAGACTAAATGGAGTCTCTGAAAAGATTCAAATGGGATACTTTAATTTAAAAAAAAAGCGCGGTAGTGTTACAGACAGAATATTGTTCCGGCAGAAAACAGCTGTGATCTGGCTCTCATGAGCAAGAGAAGAGAAGGGCGAATCCCCCGTTCGGTGCCGTTATATATCCTCTGCTGGCTCCTCCCCGCCAGCCGGCTCGCCTCGCCTCTAATGTCCGTTGTTGCATTTAAACAGAGGATTGGTACTTTTCACCTTCAACATATGCTTAACACGCCTTTTCTCCTCATATTCTCTTTCATCACTTTTCATGTAACACATTCTAAACGCTGTAATCAATACTCTAAAACATACAGAAAATGCTTCACGGCTGGTTTCCGGTCATTCCGGATGTTGTCACATGCTACTCTCGTCTGTAAACAATAGTGTATTCAAATAAACTGTACTTTCATTTAATATTCAGCATGGTAGTATCTCGACATCTATAGTTGTAGTGTTAAATCAGTAGGTTTCGGTTTTCACCACACCACGTCATTTCGCTACTCAATTCACCTCTTTAGGAAATCGTATATTAGCCACATGCTAAATGCTAACCGTAGATGAAGGATTTTCAGAATAAAAGCTTAACTGCTTGTGCACAAGAATTTCTGCTTTTTCAGTATAAAAGAGCATTTAACTTGACAGTATGTTTAAACTACATTATACCATCAAAACATTGATTTTAAATTTCTAACAATAACCCTTCAGTCCATTTACCACAGAGAGCGAAGCAAAAGCAATCAGAACATTATTATTGTTCGTAAACTAGATAATCCAAGGCACTCTTAGCCAACGTTCTGGGAAAATACCTTTAAAAATGACACTCACTCACTCAGTTAGTGGCCTTACTGTGGGCCCAGCCTTTGGCACATTTAAAAGGTTGTCCAAGTATAGTTTTACACAATAGGATTCATTTGGATTATGCTTGCACTTTCTTGTCAAGGAATAAGAAGAGAAGATTGACACATATTTCTTTACGCTAAAAATGAAGCAAGAGCTAACAGGTGATTAGCTTAGCTTAGCATAATACACTGACATCAGGAGTTAAGAGCTAACTCCCCACAATACAAAAAGTGATTAAACCAATACCTCTACATTTCCCAAAAATGTAATATCCTGTTCAAATGCTACTCCTTCCACATACTTTCAGCTAGAGACTTCATTCGTTGAATTCGTACCCAAACTGTTATGTGAAAACGCAAAGTTGTGTTTACATGGTGCACATTTCTTAGCTACAGTGTAGTTTGCTCCATAGCTTCAGGATTTTATTTTCTTATCTAAATGTTGCCTCAAAAGTATATAAACACATTTCTCAATGTCTGTTGTGAGAAGTAACAAATACAAAAAAATAGGTTAATTTGGATTATGCTTGCACTTTCTTGTCAAGGGTAGGAAGAGAAGAATGAAACCTATTTCTTTACTCTAAAAAATAAGCAAGAGCTAACAGGTGACTAGCTTAGTTTAGCTTAGTTTAGGAGGAAGCAGCTAGCCTGGTGCTCCCCATAGTACAAAAAGTGATTAAACCAATACCTCTAAATTTTCCAAATGTTGTATCCCAGTTTTTTCATTCGTACCAAAACATTTATGTGAAAACGCAAAGTTGTGTTTACATTGTGTACATTTCTTAGCTGCTAGCAATAGTGTAATCTGGTTGGTTCTATAGCTTCAGGTTTTGATTTTCTCAACTAAATGTTGCCTAAAAAGTATATAAACATATTTCTCAAAATGTGTGGAAGAGGGTCGTTTCTGTTGTGAGAAGTCAAAGTAAAAAACTAAAATAACTATAATTAAATCCGTTGACATGGTGTTATGAGGAATAATACCATCATTTCCGTCCATAATCCACCTTTATCTGTGTCATGCTTCTCAGTTTAAATAATTCCTGTTTTGGATTTTGACCCTCGTTGACATGGATCTAACAGCTGCTGTAGTCCACTTAGCAGCTGATTGGCACAAAGTCAAGGGTCTTCTCATCCCACAGAGCCAGGCCAGGCAAAATAACAAAGCGACGAGAAAGCCCTCGTGACATTTTCTGTGTGCAGCTGTGCGGTTTCATAAATCAGTTTTTGGTGTAATCTATTTAAAATCGCGATATCAAAACTTGCATGTCTTTTTGAATTATCAGTTTTTTATTTTGACCTTACACTAGGCCTTTTAAACGGTTTGGTTTTCTTAGGGTCTGAACCTTTATCTCTGAGCTGATATAATGTGTAAACTGCCTCTCAAAACATGCACACCATGGCATATCGAGCTTTTAGTAAGCGTAACAAAGTACTGAAACAATTTGTTGTAAAGCAGAACTTATTTGGACCATTTGGACAACTGATATGCTTATCACAGCATTTGGTGTTGATACTTCTGTGCATCAGACAACACTACCGGACTTCTACTATGTGTCATTCTTACCTGGTATTTCAACAGGAGGCTGCGTTGTGCCAGGAACTTCATTCACATCCAGCTCTTCATGTCATTTATCCTGAAAGCTGTGGCTGTGTTCATAAAGGATGCAACTCTTTTCTCGAGTGAAGACACAAACCACTGCACGCTTTCCACGGTAGGAGAATGAAAAGAGGTTCTTAGTTGCATAAAGAAATTCCCATCTGCAGATTCCCCATTGATCTCATTGCATATCCCTCCTTATGATTCACTCTGTGTCTTCCTTTCTTTCTTTTTTCTAGTTTGCCTGTAAGGCCTCTGTGGTCTTCTGTCACTATTGTGTAATGTCCAATTTCTTCTGGCTCCTGGTGGAGGCGCTTTACCTCAATTCCCTGCTGCTTTCGTCCTTTTATCACAGTCGTCCATGCCTCTGGGGCTTCAGCCTGCTGGGATGGGGTGAGAGAACTTAACATGCAGTTACCTCCACTTATGTTACGCTGACTGAGCGACAAAACTTCCTATAACTTAAAGGTGTCCTATCATGCAACATGCCTTAATGTCCTTTATACATATGTGTCCCCGGTGTGTCAGGGTCTAATCCTTGAAGTGGTTTGGAACATCTTTCAGTTGCTAAGTGGATAAGTTTGGCTAATACTCTTGACTCGATACAAAATAGGTGTCTGTGCAGATTTTAATATTTCTATGATAATAATAGAAATAATAAACTCAGGCTAAATAAGCTTTTTTGCTCCTACACTGAGTTTGGTTTGTTTTTGAGATATCCTAAAAATATGGCATATTTATTTTATACTTGGTCCGTTGTAGAAAAAGTAGAAAACATTTGTAGGTAACGGGTGATTTAAGGGTTTAAAAAAAGTACACCAACAGAAAAAGAAAAAGACTGTTATTTATATTTTACAGATACTTGAGTTGTACATGTATTTCAGCTCAATTCGAGTGACACTTATACAGAAGAAGAGACATGCTAAGATTGGCAATAATAACTGTTGCCTGAATAGTCTTTGTTGGTTTTTGTAAGCAAAACACTGTTTATTCTGTCTATGCAGCTTAGTAGTGTGGGGGAAACTTCTGAAGCAATTGGAAACAGGACTCAGAGAGACACGAGGAGAGCTGGAGCTTTGATGGCAAACACTGATGGTTTATTTGGAGTTACGGCCGGAGAATTGACAAGACAGGTGGTGTGTCACGAGTTGACACAGCGGCTGCCAAACCAATTCTGAAGAACTCTTTCTGCAGCTCGAGGTTTTACTTTGTTCGAGTGTAATAATCAACATTCTTTATCAGTGAGACTAAACAATTATGTACCCTGAATCTAACTAGAGCTCTCGTCCATAGAAAAGAATGTGCGCCAGGGAACCTTGGTCCCTGAACAGTAAACTACCTCATGGCGGCTTGTGCTCTGTCATAGACTGGCAACAACAATGGCCCCAAGCTGCCCCTCCTTAAGAGAGAGCAATACCCAAGGCTGTATAACTATGCCATTGGAAAGGAGACAGTGAGAGGAGAAAACGATTAACTGTGTCGAAGGTTGAATACCAAAGCAAATTATTGCAGGTAGTACATGTTGCGCAGAATACATTTCTGATATTTGTTATCTTAGGAAATATATGTGTTTGTTAATATGTCTATAATTTGATGCTTCAGGCTGTTCTTCTTCTCAGGGTGCAGAAAAAGTCGCATTGCACGATTTGCAGTTTCCAGTTATTTTGGAAACTATTTGCCAATTAAATTCACATGAACAGTTTCTTTATGTTTCAATCGACAAATAATTATCGAGAATTTATTTATAATTTCGCATCTCTAAGTGTTTGACCAATCATCACAAAGCCGGCAAGCTAACCAAGGGTGAAAAGAGCTAATATATCCTCTTGACCTTTCATTATTTCCCAATAATTCTATTTTTTTAAATTTCCAAACATAATGCTAAAATATATCACACTGAGTGACCACTCTCACCAACATCATGGCATGGGGCCTAAGATGACAATTTGAGGCCAAAACAATGTGTTTTTAATTATGCTTCCTCCCCAGAAAGCAGATGACTGATTTAAAATCCATTTTGCAGGACAGTTACATTTGTATTCCAGTCCTGTGATCCAAAAAAGATTCACGTCTGTCTTTAGGGACAACAAGAGGCAGACAGATTTGGTTTTGAACAGCCAGAAACTGCCCTGGCTCGATGGCATCAGCTGTAATTAGGAAACAAACTGAATCAAAGTTTGAACCCCCATGGCAGTCACTACTAATGTATTCGATTGTGTTTGTGGGTTGGATGCTTCTGTCACTAAACTTTCCCTAATTACAATAGAAATATTGCAATTTGTCCTAGTGGTTGCAAGGCAGGGAATAGACATATTGTAGATCTGTAGTGCCAAGAATATTCCCTTTGCTTTGAGTTCTTACTGAATAAATCAATACAGATATTACAAAGGATGTCATTCAACAGACTCACACTCTGGTAACTCTATGAATATGTTTATTGATTGCCTCTCCCTGACATCAGTTTTGCTTCTCTGCTTTTCCAAAGGTGTACCTGTGCTCTTCATCGTCATGTGGATTGGATCCAGGGTGTATTTTGAGGACACAGAGTTCGTATACACTCCCATTTATATCGCCACAAGCACAGTTCAGTCAGACAACTCACGTGTTTCTTTAACATATGTATTAGAAGCAGCCTATAGTTGAGTTTGGCGTCTAGGCTCGGGCCTCATCACTCCACAGATATACATAGCACGATGAGTGATGATTAAAGGAGACATGTCATGGCCATTTCCACTGATCATAATTCCATTGTTGAGGTCTACTAGAATAGATTTATATTGTGCAATTTTCCAAACTCACATTGGTTTCTCAAACAGCATCTCTGTAAACTACGTGTATTCACTGAATTTCACTCTCTGCCTTTAACGGCTCGTTGGAGCTCCAATAGCTCCAGCCCCCACCCTCCCTGTGAGCACAGTGTGCTCTGATTGGTCGGGACGTTGTGGCGCTGAGCTCCGCGGAGGTGTGGTTTCCTTGTTTAGCGATACACAGCGAAACACAGCCAAACTCACCATGAGCACACACAAAGTCACAGCCGAAGTAAAAACAATAATGGGTAATAATATAATATTAATATAATAAAATATTGAGTAAGAAAATAGGTTGGATAAACGCTGTGAAGAATGGGTCTGCAGAGAGAATTTCGCCCAGATCCCCACACTGTCTGTTATCAGCCTGTACCCCAGGGAGGAGAAATAGCAGAGCTGTGTGTGTGTGTTGTGTGTGGTGCGTGTGTGGTGTGGTGTGGTGTGTCTGTGTGTGTGGTGGTGTGTGTGTGTGGTTGTGTGTGTGTGTGTCTGTGTGTGTGTTTCCGTGTGTGTTGTGGTGTGGTGTGTTGTGTGTGTGGTCTGTGTGTGGGTTGTGGTGGTGTGTGTCTGTGTGTGTGTGGTGGTGTGTTATTTTTACAGCACAGCAACTTAACAACAAGTGTTAAAGCATTCAGCCATCGATTTAAGGAGGAAGAAAAAAAACAAACTTACGCGAGGAAATGGTGTAATTTGCCACCAACTTGTAACTCATTACTATTTGTTGCTGGTTATGAAATGATTTATTACCGATTGTACATCACACCTGGGAAATAACTGCAAAGACTCAAGCACGCATTTCATAATGTCCTTTCAAATTAGATGCTGGGGATAATCAACCGAGGAGATCGCCCTATAGGTGGATCATCAAGGGACGTTTGTTGTGGTCTTATAGCGTAAATGCTCACCATTTGTGCCGAACAAACTAAATGAACAGAACTCTTTAACAAGCATGAGACAGATTACAGATTGCATGCAGAATGTTTACTTCACTTTTAGAGATGAGAAAATTGATAGTGGACCTTTTTTTTGTGTCCTCACATCAAATCCCTAACAATTACACACTTGGCTACCCCTATTTGTTATCACAGTATTCCAATAATCCAAACTTGTGGTAATGGAAATCAAACAAGTACCTGTAAGTCTTATTTCATGTAGGCACAGAGCACGTTTAATTTATTCAGCAATTTCCAACAACAAAGCAATTTTTTATTGTAACTGCCTTTTTATAATCAATGCTAATTACCTGTTCATACCTGGAATTTGGAATTATTTTACATTCTTATTGCACAATGTGCTTCCCCTTTTAACTATATAATATTTCTTTCGTCTTATCATTATTGTCCTTTTTGCTGTAACAACGTAGATTTCCCCTTCTGTGGGGAACTCCCGTAAATGTCACATTACCATGTGGGACCTATATTTTGTTAGAACGCTTTATCCAAAGAGGACTTAATATAACATTCAGGTACTCGTGGAGAGAGTGTCCTTGCCCAGGGACACAACGACATGCTGACTGCAGTGGGACTTGAACTTGCTATCCCCTGATTCGAAGTCCATCACACTATCCACTGAGCCACACGCCGCCCCCCTAAGTCCATCCTGGATCTGATTCTGATTAAAGCACTCATTGGAAGTCAAGAATACAACCTTAAAAAGTGAAAACGATTAAGACACATATACAAATACAAGAACTAAAAGTTACAGCGCATTGTAAGATATAACCAGTTATTTGATTTAATAAACGCTAACAGCAAAAATGAATTGTTAAGTGTTCATTTCTTAATTGTTCTCTCCTAACCTTTGAATCAACAGGTTAATTTCCTGCTCCTCATGAACATCATCAGGATCCTGATACAGAAACTGAATCCTCGTCTGATCCACTTCAACAACTCGTCTCAGTACAGGTAATGTTTGTCTGCAGAATCGTTCAGTACCTCCTCCCTCAGTCATTACACCATGTCTCACTTTCATCTTACTGTTGGGTTCAGAATTCCAGAAAAGACAGACAACTTCTAAGTTGAACTATTTATTGTAAAGAGAGCAAAATATATATATGACTTGGCCAAGGACTCATCACGTCTTTGGGAATCACAGGCAGCAAAACTGTAATCTGTAACCACCAAATCCGTCAAGAGCCTCGAACCTCGTGCGTGTATACATTTTTATTACGCAGGGCGTTGCCCGTACATTTTTGATTGGTCAAGACTAGCTGAAGAGATACCGCGGTTTAGACTTGGTTCTCTTTGGTTGGTGCGCAGACTCAGATAGAGTCTCTTGGCAACACGATCCTCCAATCAGCATTCGGCCGGCCTGTGGAAGTCCTTGCACCATCATACTAATTTGTTTTCTCTAACGTTTCTTCAGATATAGCGGGAAACCATAATGTTGCTTCCTAGCTTTGCGGGGGAACGCGGCTCCCATACAGAGTGAAGGCCGGTGCGGTGTGCTGGTCTGACTACCTCTTTGTGTTCCCTCAGTCTCTGCACTCCACCTTGCTACTTTCAATATTGCAAGCTAAACTTTCTTCTGACTATTCCCCTCGTTGGTATCTAACCCATCAGAACCCGGGATTAGTGATTGTTTCTATTTATTCTATAGTCATAGCAATCTCATGAGGACAATAAGCATATCATGTAATAATAAGAATAAGTCTTGTAATGTTATATAAAAGTAGACTCCACATTACACAGAGTTGGATCTCCAATATTCGGCTGTGTTACTTGTTTATCTTGAGCTATTAGGCTTTTTAAGTCTGACGGACACATTTTCAAACAGTTCTCACTCTCTTTGAAACCTTTTTACTGCGACGCTTTGATGTGGGGAGAGATGAAAATTGAGGGAAAACTTTTGATACACCACACTCTGCTATTATTCAGTCAGTCAATACTGCAACTCAAACTAGTCAGTCTGGCCACGTCTACCTTTCCACCTCATTGAATCATAATTTGTAAATGAAACTAATTGGCTGAAAGAGTTCAGGGACACCATGCATATGCAAATTGTATAAATGACGTACCAAAGGCATGGAAATGCATATAAATACTTAATTGAGAGTGATAAATTCCCCATATAAGAACATTAACTGTGCACTCACATTTGTTTGAACGATGCACCTACCTCACCTTTCACCTCATCAACAACACTGTGTGCAGACTGGCAGACACACACGCATCCTCTCCTCTCCTGGCACCTGATGATTAGCGTGTCTGCGTAGAGGATGCTAACCGGACTAGCTTCACCCTCTGCATCTCCCCCCCCCCGTCCCCCCCCTCTGTGCAACAGGCGCCTCACTAAGTCGACCCTCCTCCTCATCCCTTTGTTCGGTACGCACTACATGGTCTTCAATTTTCTGCCTGACTACTTCAATGTCAACCTGCGCCTGTGTATCGAGCTCTGCATGGGATCCTTTCAGGTACACACACCTATAAACATATATCATATAAACACTCAATATGCTGACAGGAAGATATTGTGCCTGCTCAAATACCATGAACACACACACACACACACACACACACACACACACACACACACACACATGCCTTTTAAAGGGCTATATAAATGGAAAACTCTTACAACTCTAAACAATATATTAGATCAATTTTTGACATTATTTATTGAGAATAACGTTAAAGACTCATAGGATTAGTTTTTTTTCTGCACTTGCAGTAAATAAAGTTGAAATTAGAAGTGCTCATTACCAAAATCTGTTGGATAAGGTAATACAACTTAAACTTAAAATGGTTTTTTCTCCCAGACAGCTTATGTAAACCAGACTTCGAGTCTACAGCCATGCTAACTGTGTGGATTTAATGAGCAGCATTATGAACATGCTGACAGTCACGTGCTAACATGCTAACATGCTGACATTTCAGGTAGCCTGTAGTCTTAGCTAATTCACACTTACAGTAAAAGAGCTGGGATTGCCACTACTTTACCAGGTATTTGGTCGTAAAAAAAAAGTTTTAAGTGAAATTCCAGCTGTTAGAGTCAAGGGATCACCAAAGTGATAAAGAAACTCATGCTGGGGTGGTCTTGCATATCTGTTCTAAAGATGAATGATACTAATAATTGTCCCACAAGTATTTCATGTAGGCTAGTAACAAAGGTGCATAATTTGTTCCGACCTAGGCTTTTGGTTATACAGCACAAGAGTTTAACAAGTTAGTCCAATTTAATTCTATATGTTTTCGCTTACAGCTTTTTATTTAGAGTATACATTGCTTATAGTAGCACATTATACATGTATTACAGTCATTATACTGTCTGTATGGCAGAATGTTCCTGACCTTCTGCTCTTTGAAGCTGTCATTTGTCAATCGATATTTAGGCTTTTAATGAATATGGATTATTCCTAAATGTGTATGACTAAAACCATCTCTCTTACAGGGGCTCCTTGTAGCGATCCTCTATTGCTTTCTCAATCAAGAGGTCAGTACAAGCCTCAACACTCTCATGTGTTTGCTATTACATATTCAACAAAGCACGCGGATAATTTACAGCTCTCTGTTGCATAATAAACAAGAGTTAGAGGATGAGTGGGTAAGAGATTTCAGGGCTGAAAAAAACGATATAATTTACGCCTCTCTTTCCCTCATTGCATAAGCAAAGGACCCTGAGAACATATTTATCCAGCAAGTACACAGACACTGTCTCAGTACACAATAACTCATCTGCCTGGTGTATTAGGGCCTCATGGGTAGTACTTGGAAGACACTTAATTATTACACACACTAATGGGTGAGTTAATGGAATCCAAATCTGTATCGTCTGATAGATTCAAGACACCGAGTAAAACAATACAGCTGGGGTTTATTAGTGAAGGGTGTTTTAGGGAAATGTATGATATCTAATGCTTTACATTTCACCTATACCCCAATAACATGGCGAATAAATACCTTAGATGACTTGAGTGGTGAAACGGAAATACATTTTCAAATTGTGTGTGATTTGAAGTTAATGAAATACGTTAATATTTTTGGGAAATTGTCTGGTACTGGTAACCATTGGACAGATAGAGCTGTGTGCTAAGCTAAGCTAAGCTAACCAGCTGCTGCTTACATACAACAGAAATATATGAGAGGGGAATCAATCTTCTTATTACACTTTCTCAACAAAAAAAAAGTAAATGTGTGTCCTTAAACGTCAAACTATTGCTTTTCAGTATATTACATCACAGTATATGCTATGGTTGTTGTTTTTTAAATCATAAACCAATAACACAACTGTTCAAACGCATATACGAGTTGCAACTGCGTCATCTTAAAAGTTTGAAATCCCATCAATATTGCATTTTCTGTCCGTATGTGTGCTTGACAGGTCCAAAAAGAGGTGCAAATGCAGTGGATGAGGTGGCAGGAGCGGAGCTATGGTGTGGTGTCACCGGCTGCTAAATGCAGTCAGATGGACACACCCTTCTGATGGTGATCTTCACCCTCTGCCCACAGCTCCTCTGCTCCTCTGCTCCTTGTGAAGTCCCACAGGATTGCCTTTGTGCATGTCATGTTCTGCAATAGGCTGCACAGTATGCACCATAGTGGTTTAAAGCCATCTCTGTACGTTTATAAACCATTCAAAAGATGACCTTTTTAAAGACTCTGCTCCAGAAAGAAGGATGACATTTTATGACATTATACACACACATTTTAGAACAGATCCTGCCAATTTAATTTCCCTTGAGTCACTGTGTCAGCAACTTCAGACAGTTCACCTTCCAGATTTCCTCGGGCCCCTCTCTGGTTTTATTAAAGAATAAAGATGTGAAGCATAGTGCTTACCCTAATGATGAAGGAATAATCAATTATGTAAACCGTTTCACCGGATATGGGTTTTTAGGAACCAAGAAAAACACTATCTTGTTGAGTGTGGTGGATGTCGTCTCTATAGATGCTAAAGTTAGATACAGTAGATTACATTCCATTTATCACTGTTGCTGTAGCGTAACCTGTTGAAAATGTAATATACACAAATTATGAATCACTCAGTTGACACAAGCTGAAATTAAAATGGGTTATTACTGATGTAATTCAACAGCAGTATAACATCGTACTACATAATTCATATTTGAACTTAGATTGATTATTTTGAGTTGTCTACACACAGGGAGATGAGCTGTAAGTCTATATGTATATATTTATTCACTGAGCAAAATTATTTCTTTGTTTTTATATATTAATGTTTTAATTCAAAGTGCGTACAAATTGATACCTTAATGGCAGCTTAATGAATGGATATCTTAAAGTCTGCTCATGATACACATTAGTGTCAGCTGCTATATGTGTGTGTTTTTTGTTTTTGCTTTTTCAGTGTAACCTGCACCTGTAACCTTTAGATCGTTGACACACTGATGAGAGTTGAGCAGCTTCTCACCTGTTGTGTGGTTTGATGTCATGAACACAATACCATGAACATAAACTTTATCATGGTAATTATTTTTAAGTTATTTTACATCAATGTATATGATGCTGACATTATACAGCGGTTTGTACTGCATACGAAGAACGATACAAATTGAGTGCCATAATTTGTTTACAGATCTATTTTTGTTAGAAATTAAAATGGATGTTTATGCTTTGTATGTGTTATAAGCCACAATACTCTTACAGTGTAGTTTATTTTATGTAAACAAAACATTTGTGTAAAACTGAATGTATAAAGAAGTCAGACCTTTCTCTGTTGTTACATTTGGAAGTTGCTGCTATTCTTGTGCCTCTCTTTGTGATGTTTTATTGCCTTGTGAAATTAACAGGTTTGAAGGAGCTAAAGCATAAATATGTTTACTCTGATTCGTTATGGCTCTCTGCAATCTCAATTTTTTTTAAACATCATCAGCTGGCAGCTGCGAAATGTCAAATCAATTATCTAATCGCTAATCACTGATACTGAAATCATAGTTGATTATTCATGTAGATTTCCTTTCCAAGGATGTCATTCAGAAAAAACAATATGAGAGTATTTAATAAAATTCCAGTTGTGCTTCTTATGGAAAACTTTAATAAATGTTATCATTAAAGCAATGGCAAAACAATTTTCAATGTGTTCTATTTTTAAGAAGCTTACATCTTTATATTGTTTTTATATGTTTCAATACATATTTTAGACAATGTATTTAAAATGATTTACAGTTAAACTAGTACCAGTTGTCTAATTAAAGAGGACTGTTCATTAGTTTTAAACAGTATTACGCTCATTTCAGGTTCATGTTTGTATTTTGTGTCTCTACTGGGACACGTCTCCATGCTTCAATGTTCAAAAAGCTCTTTATTTTTCTCATACTGCCTGTGCTGCAGCACCTCTTTTCACCCTCTGTCTGAAACCAGAGCCCAGTCTGCTCTGATTGGTTAGCTGGCTGGCTCTGTTGTGATTGGTAAACCGATTAGAGATGTCCCGCCCCTTAGCCTATCACGTACAATGTGTTGGAGCGCTAGCCAATAGAAGTAGTAATGATGTCACGAGAGTGTGGGAGAGAATCAGGGATGTTAGCNTATCCAAAGCAACTTACAATAAGTGCATTCGACCAAGAAGATACAAACTTGAAGAAAACAGAATCATATAAGTACATCAGGTTTTATAGAGCTACAACAATGTTGTAGCTCTATAAAACCTGATGTACTTATATGATTCTGTTTTCTTCAAGTTTGTATCTTCTTGGTCGAATGCACTTATTGTAAGTTGCTTTGGATAAAAGCGTCAGCTAAATGCAATGTAAAAGTGATAACCTCTTACTGTTAAAACAATAGTTATCTGGTGATATTGAATCCTTGCTTGTTGTTAACAGGGGAATCTTTCTGTCCACTAGGGCCCCTCACTGAAGACTCTTTTTTAGAAACTGTAACATATATCCTCACCAACAGATAGCGCAAAGGTACTCCTTGTTTGCTCATTTGTAAAACAATTGTATGGGTTTCCCAATCCACATACACTTCCATCGCTGCTAATCTATCTGTTCAGAAAAACTCATTTGATTTCAGTCAACTGTGACATGCCGGTGTAATAAATAAATAGACACGCTTCATGAAATGATCCGGATCGGAAACACTCTTTCGTTAGAGCAACAATGTCCCTTTTTGACTCCCGCTGCTCTCTTCATTATCACATCACTCCCCCCTCCTCCCCCTTTTGTTACCTGTGTTGTTTCTGAAGAGGGAGAAGACGGCAGGACATCCTCTCTCGACGGTTTCCCCCACGGCTGCGTGAGGCCAGCAGGCCACAGCGTCCCAGAATGGCTGACAACCTTTTCATAAAGAAGGTTTAAAACAAAAAGGTTAGTTGGGTGTCTAGCAGGAGGGGGTGCGTGTGGCGCAGTGGATAGAGCCTTGGTGTTGGGATCAGGGGGTCACAGGTTCAAACCCCACTGCAGTCAGCATGTCGCAGTATTGAGTATGTAAGTCGCTTTGGATAAAAGTGTCTAACATGTAATGTAGAAAAGAGAAACTCCTCAAAGAGGCATTTCTATGCGCCTCAATCCGTCATACACTGCCGACACAAAGTTAAAATATATATGGGGAAACCGTGGAGATAAATGGGGTGTATAATGCACGATACCACCAATTACATTTTTCAAAGACATAACATCTGCCTCTTTTTAAATTGTATTAAGACAAGGATGAGGAAGTACTCTAGGTTTCAAAGCGAGACCTTTCACTTGAGATCGATTACAAACATAAATCCTTTTGTAACTAGCCTTAATGGTCTCCTATACAGATGCTTCACAGTGATAGATCACCCAGTGCAGTGGGGACACTGTGACAACTGATGATGATGATGTGGGGGGAGGGGGGAATGGAAATGGAAAACACACACCTTCTGAGCTGGTGTTGCTCTGCTCGGCGATGAACTGAAGGCAGAGACGCTCCTCTCTCTCCAGCTCGAATATGAACTCACATTCAGGGTGAAGGCTCGAGAAAACCTGGAGTCAGGAAGGAAAGAAGCAAGGAAGGAAGGAAGGAATGGAGGAAGGAAGATAGGAAGAATGAAAGAGAAAGAGACAGAGTTGAAGGAAGGAAGGAAATTAAGACGAATGAAAGAAAGAAAGAAAGACAGAATCAAAGGAAGGAAGGAAGGAAAAAGGAATGAAGTAAGAAAGGGTCGAAGGTACAGTATAGGAAGAACAAAGGAAAGAAGGAAAGGCTTGAAAGAAGGACGGAAGAAAGAAAAAAAGAGAGACATAATCAAAGGAAGGAAGGAAAGAAGGACAAATTAAAGAAAGAAAGAGAGAATCAAAGGAAGGAAGGAAGAAAAGGAAGGATAAAGGAATGAAGGAAGAAAGGGTCGAAGGTATAGGAAGAACAAAAGAAAGAAGGAAAGGCTTGAAAGGGAGGAAGGAAGATAGGAAGGAAGGAAGAAAGAATGAAAAAAAGAGAGACAGAATCAAAAGAAAGAATGAAGGAAGGATTAAAGAAAGAGAGACAGAATCAAAGGAAGGAAGGAACAAAGGAAGGATAAAGGAATGAAGGAACAAAGGGTCGAAGGTATAGGAAGAACAAAAGAAAGAAGGAGGAAAGAAAGTAAGGGATGTTCTTTTCGACATTGAATCAGGGTCCACTCAGTCTTTGCCTCCATGAAAATGACATTCCATCTGTAGGTCAAATCATTTTAAATGCAGTGACCCACTTTTCCTTTACAGTGACCTCCTGGCAAAGCTCACCTGTTCCCTCGGTGGCATTAACTAACACGATCCCTCACTTCACTTCACAGAGAGGGGGGGGTGTAGTGAACATGATTTCATCCTATGGACAGAGATGATTGTCCTGGCCTCCGAAAATGGTCTCTCTATCCATTTAGTGCCCGACAGAGATCTTCTGTTACTTGTGTTACTCTGCTCATTCCTCCGGTTCCCGATGCCAAATAAAAACGGAATAATTGTGTTGGCTGAAATTTATCTAAGACTAAAACTAATAAGAATGTCTTGTTTCTTGGAGAGGAGAAGGAAGGAGGTAAGGTGGATGTTGGAGAGTAACGTGCATGGAAGAGGGTGGATGGAGGGAGTCTGCACGAAAAGAGGTTATGCTTATGAAGACTGGTAATCCAATGTTTGGCTGTACCGTAAATGTTGTGCGTGTGTGTGAAAATAAACATGTTTCTCAGTCCGTGATGTTATATTGTTTTCCATAAAAGAGAGGGTCATATACATCACATTCATCTGGCTGCAACTTACAAATTATTTATATAATATTCCAATGAGAGTTAATAGACTCTCCTTGTACTATTATAATTGTATTACTTACATTACATGTTACTTGTTAGATGCTTTTATACAAAGCAACTTACATACTCAATACTGTGGGCAATCCCCACAGGAGCAATCTGGGGTGAAGTGTCTCAGGGACACAACGACATGCTGACTGCAGTGGGGTTTGAACCTGTGCTCCCCTGATCCGAACACCAACGCTCAACCCACTGCACCACACGCCTCACGCCGCCTACTTGCACTATTTTAAATATGTTGTCTGTTTTAGTATGTTCCACAATTGGAGGAGCTTGTGACCTAAGATTTTCATTGAGATATCTACAATGTAGCTACAGTATGTTCAAATGTCAATAAAAGCCTTGAATCTTGAATCTCATATAATAACAACCTTTTGTCTTTAAGGTCAGCTGTTTATGACGTATATGGATGTGTTTGAGCTGCTTCCAAGCCGGATGTTGTTGTTGACAATGAGACCTGTAGATAGGGGAGGGGCTTTCTTTGATCATTGCATTATTTACTAAGGGTATAAAGCACAGTATGGATATGAATGTAAAATGCTTGTGTTTGTCAGAATGGGTCCATCGGTGGTGAAGGGTTTCCAGATGATAGGAAGGCAAAACAAAGGAGTCGAAGTGGCAAAAATGGGGCGAAGCCTGCGAGCTAGTTCAGGCAGTCAACTCGAGCACCAATGATACGTTAACACGTGACGCACCTCGTCCCTCTTACAACCAACCAAACACATTCTCCTAAACATGCCGCTCTATTTAAGCTGCCAGGTCTTCCTGCCTCTGCCTCGCTATGCTGCTGCTGTTTAACTTGCTATTGATGCGTTCATGTTCCTGCTGCTGTGTTTCATGTTGCTGCTGCTCGCCTGCCCCACCACCACCCCAGCTGCACCCCAGCTTCCACCCCAGCTCCACCGCAGCTTCCACCCCAGCTTCCACCCCAGCTTCCACCTCAGCTTCCACCTCAGCTTGCACCTCAGCTTCACCCCAGTTCCACCTCAGCTTCCACCCCAGCTCTGTTCCAGCTTCCACCCCAGCTTCCACCCCAGCTCCGTCCCAGCTCCGTCCCAGCTTCCACCCCAGCTTCCACCCCAGCTCCGTCCCAGCTTCCACCCCAGCTTCCACCTCAGCTTGCACCTCAGCTTCACCCCAGTTCCACCTCAGCTTCCACCCCAGCTTCCACCTCAGCTTGCACCTCAGCTTCACCCCAGTTCCACCTCAGCTTCCACCTCAGCTCTGTTCCAGCTT